AGAGAAGCAACTGGTACCCAACCTCCAGCATAGTCACTTAAGGAAAACTGTGCTATAACCCTGCTCAGAATTGAATAAACCTTTTTATTTTTTCGTCTTTTTGAAACAGGGTCTCCCTGTAGCCCCAGCTGTCCTGGAACTCACTATGTAGACCAGGCTGGCCTTGAACTCACAGAGATCCACCTGCCTCTGCCTCCCAAGTGCTGGGATTAAAGGCGTGCGCCACCATACCCGGCTTACTAAGCCTTTTTAATAACATTTATAAAACAAATTTACCAAGCAATTAAGATTTTACCTCAGCCCTTGAAGTGGGTTTTAAATGACCAAGTCTTCTTTAAAGGTTTAGAGATAGTTTACATAGACTTGGAAAATATTTATTCTATATAAACATCTAAATGCAGAAATAAATTCTACTCTGCAGTAGAAGTAATCATTTAAAAAATTTATATTCTTGGCCAGGCGTGGTGGCGCACACCCGTAGTCCTCCAGCACTTGGGAGGCAGAGGCAGGTGGATCTCTGTGAGTTCAAGGCCAGCCTGGTCTACATAGTGAGTTCCAGGACAGCTGGGGCTTACAGGGAGACCCTATAGGAGCCATGTTGTAATTTAACAATTTTAGCTTACGTGAGAACTTACTTATAAGTCAATTTGATATCAAATAAATTGTTATATATATTTAATAATCATTCCCTTGTTACTAAACATAAGTCTACACATTCACAACAGTCTCATACAATAAATACTGTGGTTAGACACAATGTCACAACAAACCAGTTTCAGAAACCAAGACCTTGATGAAATTCTGATCATATATATAAAAGAAATTGTGCTTTATAACAACTGGTACATCATCAAATTGATGTTCACAACCCTCAGCATAATCAATTCAGGAGAACTGGGATACTTTAATTACTGACTGAGGAATTCTAGGTAGAAGATCCTCTTTGTACTCTCCATCAACTGAACTCTAGCAAGAGAAACAGCACCACTGCCACGTGGCCATCTCCAGGAGCCTGGCAGAGCACTTCCGGGTATCAGAGACCTCCATTCAAGCCAAACTAAGATTCCTGGTTTCAATTACCCATAGGAGTTTTAGGAATAGCTAATATAAAGGCAGTTCAATGCATGAGAGCTAATGGCAAAGCTGCTCCAAGGGAGAAAAGCACAAAGTCATATCTAAGGCAGCAGAGTTTCCAGGGACCAAAAGTGCCCCTTCCCCAAACAGGCCACATCTGCCTGCATATGGAGCAGTGCTGCAGGAAACAGAGGGAAAAGGACAAGGCCAAACGGATGAAACTTCAAGAAGACCAGTCCCAGAATTCATCTCCAGCTCTGAAGATGAGTTAATATTAAACCTCTTGTTAAGGTTCAGATAGCCCTGCCCCCTCACCAACAGGGTCTCATGGACTTCTCAAGCTCCTGAGAAAAGGGAACTGAGTTGATAAGCACCTTGGTCTTTGAAGTCTAGAGAAGCAGACTTTTCTCCACTGTTTGGCCAACACAGCAGGTTTCCCCTTTGATCTCTAAAGAGGACAGGTTTTAACAGTCCTGCTCTCCCACAACCCCCCCCAACTTTTAAAAAAAATACATCTTCCCGCCTTCTGGAGGAGGCAGAAGCCTCCCTCTTTTAAAAGACTCCAGCTCATGACCCAGGCAGACATTTTCCCTGCCCAGAGGAGTCTCTGTCCCATGTGTTCCTTTGCTAATAAACTCTGCTTTCTCCTGATCAACCCTATTTGCCATATGGCTACTTTTTATCTATCACCTCTAACCAACTGGAGTTTATTTATTTTTTTCCAAATCATTTTCAGGCCTTTAGAGCTCTGAAAGCAACACAAACCAGACCAAGAATGTCAAAACCAAAATACTTACAAAGCAAGCAAATTAAAGAGATATCTTAAAACAAACACTATGAAAACAAACCCAAATCAAAAAGTATGTAACAAATAAGGCCCTTAAACAACCAGCTCAGATACTGGTTTCTTTGGTCTTTGAGACAGGGTCTCCCTGTAGTTCCCACTGGCCTGGAACTCACTATGCAGACCAGACTAGTCTTGAACTCAGATCTGCCTGCCTCTGCCTCATGAGTGCTGGGATTAAAGGCCTGCACCACCACACCTTTCTTCAGATACTGTTTTGTATAAACAATTAGCACTTAAAAGTTTTGTGAAACACTTAAATAGACCTAGAGACATTATCCAATAAATTTAAAAATATTTAGGGTACCCAAATTTATAAGACCTTTGAATGTACTATCAAAATAAGTTTTTTTTAAAAAAAATAAATCTGCATGTGTATTTTAATTAGGCATGCCAAAATAAAGCAAAATAAAACCAATAATTTCATCCACAATAAATGAATGAAAATAATAACTGAAGCAGCCAGTTTGTTTCAGTGGAAACGTGATCAATTTTCACAGAAGACAATGATCATAGACACACATGACAGAATTACTTGGGATCTCAACACATGAGAAAATTTATAGACATACATGACATAATTGCATGAAATCCCAAACACATGGAAAATGATTATCACAGACACACATGACATAATTTCACACAAAGTAGGTACACCCAAAACACAAAAATCAAGGAGTTTGATCAGGATGGTCCTTTGCATGTACGCACTCATCCTTTAAAGGTGGATTGGAGAACACGTCCTCCATCATCTCCTCATAGCTATGGGGAAATTCTCCCTCCTTCTGGTAAATATGAGGTTGGGTTTTAGGGTTCAGGTAGCCTCCATCCAGACTCAGATTCTTATCCAGCATGGCCTGATTTCAAGCCACTGGACTTCACAGAAAGTTTTTAATTTGGAGAGTTTTATCTTAATGCCATAATTACCTGCATAGCCTAGTTTAAGGCTGTCCACCTGGAAGACAGTCTGGGTCTGACACTTTGACTGGGAGGAACCCATCTGAAATTTTACATGTGCCTGGGATGTGGCCACCTCTCAGTAACTTAAGAGGTCTTACCTTGGGGCCACACGTATATTCTCCATGCTCGGTCACCTGAAGGTGAGTACCTGTTTAGGTCACACCACCTTAGCCGAACCGCAGGGTGAGGCCCAGTCAGATTCCAGAGCCGGGGAACCATTACTTCCGCTCTCACATTCACGCACACTCCTTCAGAGTTTAAGACAGTTCCCTAGTTATTCCCACTAAATTCCTGTTCTGCCTAAAATGGGGCCAGTACCTTGGAATCACATCAAGGTTTAGTTGTGGCCAGGTTTGCTGCCCGATTCCTGATTCTTGTTTTACCTTAAATGGGGCCAGCACCTCGGAATCATGTCCAGGTTTAGTTGTGGTCCCCTTCATTCCTGACTGGAGGCCAGTGCCATCTTGGAATCACATCAAGACTGTCTGCAGCCTCCTGAGGGGGATCAGCCATCACCGGCTTCCACCTGTCCAACCTGGGGCCCATTACCTGGTCTGGACATCTATTCTGGGTCCCTGTCTTGTTTTACCTGGTGAGAGGCTCTGGTCTGGGGCTATGCAGCTCTCTCTGGCCCTCTGGCCTCCTGGATGGAGACCCCAAGAGGAAATTCTTCGGGGGTAAGCACTTCTCAGTTTCGGGGGTGGTGGTTGCAGGGTCCAGGAACAGCAGCCTCTATTACCAAGGGTGTGGCTTCTTGTTCTTGCTGGGGACCTCCAGAAATGTTATGGAAAAATCAGGAAGTTTAATTTGACGCACTAGTGGGACTGACACTGAGAATAAAGGAGTCAGACACCCCGTTCAAGTTTTGGGGGGTTTAATACTCCTGTGAGGAACCAAGCGAAAGGTACATAGAAATGCAGCAAAGGTAATAGAAATGCAAAGGTTACAGGAATGCAAAAGCCTTAGGTCTATTCAGGAATGGGATAGCTTTGGAAAACAAAGGGGGAGATTCTGGTTTACTTCCCCAATCCCATTGCAAAATCCTTTAGCAACTTGTAAATTCTACTTCCATAATAGAAGGGCTCAGGCAAGAGAGATTGGGTCCTGTTTGAAACTGTAGCTAGAAAGTGACAGATTTGAAAGCTGGGTTTGGGGGTGCACGCCTTTAATCCCAGCACTTGGGAGGCAGAGGCAGGCGGATCTCTGAGTTCGAGGCCAGCCTGGTCTATATAATGAGTTCTAGGCCAGCTGGAGCTACAAGGAGACCCTGTCTCAAAAAGACAAAAAATAAGTAAAAGAAAGAGACAGATTTGAGAGGCAAACCCTAGAGGCTGTCTTGCCAGTTGATACAAAAGTAAGGTTGACCTTGACAAATCAGTTGTTTAGATACCGAAACAGGAGGCGTGATGGTAATCCTGACACATAGGAGGTGGAGGCAGGATCAGGAGTTCAAGGTTATCCTTGGCTACTTAGTAAGTTTGAGGCCAGCCTGAACTACATGAGACCCCCCATCTCAAACAAGCAAAATATAATACAGAGGGCTTAGGGTTGTAATTCAGTTGGTAGAGTACTTGTCTAGCATGCATGAAGACCTGGGTTTAATCTAGGACTGAGCATAATGACAGATTTATCATCCCAGCACTTGGGAGGCATCCTTGACTACACAGAGAGTTGAGAGTTAGCTTAGACTGCCTGAGACCCTATTTCAAAAAAAAAAAAAAATTATTTTTTTAATGCTTTCAGACTGGTTAGAGTATCACAGTTGGACCAAGTACTTTATACCCCTGTCCTTCCCCAGCCCCAAGCTTCCACAGTCTTTCAACTGAAGGGTTAATGTCTAGCACAGGACCCTGTTCCACACGTAGTTCTGATTGGTGGTTGTGCTAGTACCTGCTGTTGGGCTATCACCTCTGTGCCCCACTGAGTAAGAGCTAGAAAGCAGCCTGTTGCCCAGCTGTGGAAGTTGAGGCCCACAGCAGGACCACACCTGCAGCCAGGACAGAGCACAGGACGCCTTGGCCACACCCCCAGCACTGAGCACTCAGTGGCCTTGGAATTGGGGACAAGTGTTAATGTGAAAATTTATTGAGTCACCACAGGCCTTTCTTTTTCCCCTGTCCAGCATCCCTCTCTACCTGCCAACATCCTGTGTTTGAAGAGCCTGTGGCTGGAGGTGTGACTGTGGAAGAGCTGGCAAGAGAGGGACATTGCCCAGCTGCTGGTCTGCTCCTGTCTCCTGTCCCCTCCCCTGGCCATGACAGAGACCCGTGAGCCTGCTGAGACTGGAGGCTATGCCAGCTTGGAGGAAGATGATGAAGACCTTTCCCCAGGTGAGATGCTCTTAGAAGCCGTGGTGTTGGCGTAACTGTCATCTGGGCTAAGGGCTTGGGCTCTAGGATGTTGTGATGAGGAACGAGCCCTTGCCTTGCTCCTGGCTCTCTACTGACTAGAACTCCTTGTCCTGGAGGGAGATGGCGTCCCACGGAAGCTCCTAGGGCTTGCAGCTTGGCCAGGTTCTTTGTCCTTGTTGGGGGTTCTAGATTGACCGAGGACCCTCTCCCAGCTCCGGGTTTCAGATTGGCTCCTGTCTGGCTCCTCACTGGGGGTTCTAGATCTGCCACTGTACACGTCCTTGCTGGGGAATCTCGATCGGCTCTGCTCTCTTTTCTTGCTGGAGGTTCTAGACCTGCTGTGGGCTGTGTCTGTGCTGGGGGTTCTAGAGACTGTCGGTGTCTGCTCTTGTGGCTGGGCACTTTGGGCCTCCTGTGACTCCTACGATGTCTGTCCTTGGCACTGCTGGATCGACTGAGACTCTTGTCCTCGCTGGTCGTCGTAGACCACGTGGGGCTGCTGCTTTTGCTCTTCAGGGTTCTTGATTGGCTGAGACTTTTCCCCAGGCTGTGGGTTCTGGACCTCTTGGATTCTCTCATCTGAGTAGGAGTGCCCCTCCGAGTGCGGCTTCTTGCCCTGCTCCAGTTTCTCTTCCAGCTGTGACTCCTGGACCTTCTGGGGGTTCTAGAATGGCTATGACTCTGGGTCCTGCTGGGGGTTCTAGAGCGGCTGAGACTTTGGGTCCTGCTGAAGGTGCCAGCCTGCTTGTAATTCATGACCGAGTTGGACACATCAGTCGGGGTGTGGCTCTGTTCCCTACCGGGGGACATCACCTGGCTGTAGCTCCTGGCCCTCCTGGATGCCAGAGACTGGCCAGAGTCCTTGAAGTCTGTCCTGGTTGGGCTGTGGCTCTTGGCCCTGCTGGGGACTGCAGACAGCCTGAAGGTGCTCCCTGTTCCCAAGGCTCGTGCTGACTTGGGACTCTTCTCTCTGTGCTTATTTCTTGGCTGGCTGATGCTCCTAGCCTGGGTATTGCTTCTAGGCTGGCTGTAACTCTTGCCCCAACTCTGTTTGCAGTGGGAAGTTGGGGTTCTCACTTTCTTGACCACACCTGGTTTGGCAGAATGGGTTCTTACCCTGTTAGGAGTGCTGGCCCTGCTAGGGGACCTCTTGGAGCCCTAGCTCCCCCTCCTGCTGGAAGTTTGACCCTGGCTCTGTGTTCTGCCCTGCTGATGGTGTCCCAGCGCTCTGGCCTTGCTGTTCTTCCTACCTTTGCTGGCCTTACTGGCCTTGTCAGTGCTCACCCAAATGGGCGTCCTGGTCTTGCTGCAGACCTGGGACCTGCTGCTGGGCCGGGTTGAAGGGGCAGTCTTTGTACCTGTTGATCTGGTAGACTTTGAACTGCTGGGGCTCATGACCAGGGTGGGGGACTTGGGGTGTCTTGAGGAACTGTTGGGCATGGCTGCTTTGGTGGTCTTTAGGGAGGGCGGAGGCACAGGAGCCACAGAGGGCAGCACGGAGGGCCCAGTGGATGCTGGAGTCATGTTGGACTTGGAAGGTATCTTTGATGGAGAATGCATGGCTGGTGCAAAAGGGCTTGAGGTCCTGGAAGTCATGGTGGACGTGCAAGATCTGGTAGCCAAGGACAACAACCTGATGGCTTGTCACAAGCAACTGCATGAAGTCACAGTGGGTGCTGAGGCCCCTGGAGGGTGGGGGTGAGGTCAGAGGTGAGAAGAGAGGAGGCGGGCCTGGCATGGTTTGAAGCCATTCAGTAAATGTATCACTGTCCATTGGCACTGCTGAGCTGTGGGGCTGGGTCAGACCAGAGCCTGCCTTGAGGAGTTTTGAGGCCGAGGTGATGTTACTGCCCAGGGTGGCCAGAATTGGGGGATCTCAGAGGAGAGAGATGCTGATCCACTGGAGAGTCAGGGAGGGCTTTGACCTTAAGCCCGGCCTCACAGAGGAGCAGGAGTTACTGGTAGGGACGAGGGGAGGAGCAGAGAAAAAGGCCTGGAGGAGGGAGAGCAGGACCTAGACCCACCCCCACTGGCAGCCCTGACCCATGCATCCTCTGCTGGGCTGAGGTGGGACCTGCCCTTCAGGAGTTCCCTGATAAGGGAGACACATAGGGTTCATAAGGCCATGGCCTCTAGATGGTGATGGGAGGGGATGGGGCAGAGGGAGCTGGGGCAAAAAGTAGGCAGAGTCTCTTAGCTGGGAGCCAGGGCCAGAGAGTGAGGACAGCCTGTGCATGTATGGGGGAGGGAGAGCAAGAGGACAGAGTGGAGAACAGTGTCCTAGGCAGTGGGACCCGTGTGCATCAAGGCATCAGAGAACAAACGGAGGCAGCAGGATGGGGCACAAGAGACAGTGAGATTACGGAGAGACTGGGAAGGGATATGCAGCAGACACTAAAGGCCTCCTCTGAGCCAGGAGAGGGGCCTGGACACAGATGCCACTGTCCCGGGGTTCAGGGAGGGAACAGTGGGATGGCAGTAGAAAAGACTGGCTGTCAGGGATCAGTGGGGGTTCAACGAGGAGGGAAACTTGTCCTGGGGCCTAAAGGGAAAAGCAGGAACGAGCATCCAGAACAGAGGGAAGAGCATGCGGGGACGCCTGGCAAATGAATGCAGAGATCCATCCCCAAAATCCTTCGCACGAAGAGTTGTCTCAGATGCCAGGGCCGCTGCAGTGAACCAGTCCCTGCCCTTGGCGTCAAGAAGAAACGTGAACACAAGTAAATGCTGTGCCGTTAATCAGACCATGAGAGGGATGTGGGGAGGGCTGCTGGGAAACAGTGGGTTCAGTGTGTTACTGAGAAAGGAGCAGAGCTGGGAGGACAGAGCACACCTGGGGACATAAGGAGCCCATAGTGGTATCTGGTAAGGATGCAAATTGGGGTGGAGGGGCCAGAGAGGGCCTTGTGGCCACCGTGGTGAAGTAAGTAAGGGCAGAGCAGACCCAGGTGCCTCAGTGGAGACAGTCCCTGTAGGCTGCTCTAGGAAACTGAGGCAGAGGGCTGAATGAATGCAGATCAAGGTTGCTATAGTCCTTTGAGATGCTTCCAGTAGGCCCCGCCCAGGGGGGTGGTGTAGGCATGTATTCCCAGTACTCAGGAGGTGGAGGCAGGAGTTCGCGCCTGTCCTACATATTAGTGAGTTCAGGGCCACCCTAGGCTACATGAGACCCTCTCAGAATGAGCTGGCAAGATGGATTAGTAGGTAAAGTGCTTGCCATACAAGCATGAGAACCTGAATTTGGATCTCCAGGAGACATGTAAAAAGCTGGGCATGATGTGTATACCTGTAATCCTACTGCTGGAAAGCAGAGAGCAGAGGATCCTTGGGACTTGCTGACCCATCAGATTTGTCAAATTGGTGAGTTCTGAGTTCACTGAGAGACCCTGTCACAAAAACATGGCTGTGGAGAGAATTAGTGGTCAGGAGCCCCAGTTCTCTTGTAGAGGGCCCGAGTTTTCGGCTTCTAGTACCCACATGCAAAGCTAACAGCTCTTCTGTGACTCCAGTTCTGGGAGATGGGAAGCCCTGTTCCGGCCTTTGTAGGCATTGCACACACGTAGTACACTTGCATGCATGCAGGCCAAACACAGGCATAATATAAAAACAAAATGGAGAGTGATTAAAGGAGACACCCAATATTGCCCTGACCTCCATTCACAGAAACATGCACACAAGAAAATCAACAAAGATAATTATTAATTTTTTTTAGTATTTTTATTTTATGTATAGGAATGTTTTACTTACATGTAAGTGCACTTGTGTCATACAGTGGCCATGGAGGTCAGAAGAGGGCATCAGATCCCCTGGAACTGCGAGTTACAGTCAGTTGTTTGCCTCCATGTGGGTGTTGGAATTCAAACCCAGGTCCTCTGCAAGAGCAGCCAGTGTTCTTAACCACTGAGCCATCTCTCCAGCCCTTGTTTTGTTTTTGAGTCAGGGTCTCACTGTGTAGTCCTGGCTGACCTGAAACTCCCTATGTGGACTAGGCTGACTTTGCCTGCCAGTCCTGAGTGCTGGGATTAAAGGTATGCTCTACCATACCCAGCTCAGAAAACGTGTGTGTGTGTGTGTGTGTGTGTGTGTGTGTGTTGATTGCTTAACTCCTTGTTCCAATGCTCTTCTTCTGGAATGGCATGGGCTATCTCCACATTTAGCTCTCCATGGTGGATCTCTGTGACCATAGGTGAGTCATCTAACTGCTCTGTGCCTCAGTTTCCACATCAGTAAGGTAGGAATTACAGCAGTACCTCCAGGGGTTGCTGTAAGTTAGCAGCGCAAGGTGTCCCTGGATGTGGTCACTGCTACTGCCCTCCCCACCCCAGGCGGTGTGTTGTGCTTTGTTTGTTTTGAGACAAGGGTTTTCTACAGTAGCCTAGGCTGACCTGAACTTGCAGAAATTCTCCTACCTCAGCCTTAGCCTCTTGAGTGCTGGGAATGGGAGGTGCACTTCTTTATTAGCTAGACACATAGGTACAGGAGAACCCTTGCATCTGTACTGTGCCCAGCTGCCCTGCGCACAGGGTGAGCGTGAATGGGGCACAGGGAGGGGACAGCTGGGTGCAGCCCTTGGTCTTCTCATGCTGTGTCTCTCTTACCTGCCCCAACAGGCCCGGAGCATTCTTCTGACTCTGAATACACTCTTTCAGAGCCAGACTCAGAAGAAGAAGATGATGATGAAGAGGAGGAAGAGGAGACCACTGATGACCCCGAATATGACCCTGGCTATAAGGTGAAGCAGCGCCTGGGTGGGGGCCGGGGAGGTCCATCCCGCCGGGCCCCCCGGGCAGCCCAGCCCACCGGCCCACCTGCACAGCCCTGCCAGCTCTGTGGCCGCTCACCGCTGGGGGAGGCTCCACCGGGTACCCCACCTTGCCGTCTCTGCTGCCCTGCGACAGCCCCCCAAGAAGCTCCAGCCCCTGAAGGCAGGGCCCTTGGGGAGGAAGAAGAGGAGCCACCCCGCTCTGGGGAGAGCCGGCCAGCAGGGCGGGAAGGGGATGAAGATGAGGAGGAGGGGGGCACCTACCACTGTACGGAGTGTGAGGACTCCTTTGACAACCTCGGGGAGCTGCACGGCCACTTCATGCTGCATGCTCGGGGTGAGGTGTAGGCCGGGGTGGGGGGGCACTGAGGAAGCTGGCAGAGGCGTGGGTTGGGAGAAGGGAGCTGAGAAAGCTGGAGTGGGGCTGGGGCGGGGCTGGGGGTACTGCCCATCTGTGTTGTCTTAGCCTTAGATATGTGAAGGGCAGAATAAAAGCTGGATTCTGTGTGTGCTGGTCTAGCATGCGTTCCAGTGCATGTGTTGAGTGACTTATACGTAATGAGTACAGTGAGCCTGGTCCCCTTATCCTTCTGGGGTCCCTCCAGGATCTGTGGCCAAGTGCTGAGTACTGCCTCCACCTCCTGAGCTCTGGGATTGGAGGTTTGCACCAGCATGCCTGACTATATGTGGTGCTGGGGTTTGAACCCAGGACCTCTTGCATGCTAGTCAAGCATTCTCCAACTGAACTACATCCATAGTCATTTTGATTTTTCTTGGAGTAAGGTTTTGCTTTGTAGCCCAGGCTGGCCCTGAATTCTGTTTCTCCTGCTCACAGCCTCTGAGTGCTAGAATTACAGGAAGACACCACACCTAGCTGGAATTTCATTTCTTCATGCAGCAGTCCTGGGGCAGATAGTTTGGGGGTTCGGGCTGCCCCTGAAGCTTGTCATGACCCCTGAAATCCATGCTGAGTGCCACACTTGGGTCCTGCTGGTGGCACTCTTCCTCCAGTGTGCCACTGCTGAGATATCCATTGCAAGGCTGCAGCTGCAAAGGAGCCTGGGAAAGGCCATCTAGCCAAGTCCCTGAGAACATGGTTTGCAGGGGCTATGAGGATGCTCTGTCTTGACACTTAATCCCTCCCACAAAGAAGACTGACTGCCACAAACATCATAGACTTCCCAGTGCTCGCGGGCATCTGGTGCTTGGAAAAGGGCTTTATCTATATGGAGTCGCAGAGTCTGTGCACCTGGGAACTCATGCCAAAGTAAAACCAAAGCATGATCCTCTGCCTTTTACAGCACCCCCAGTACTGCCTTTGAATCCCATGAGTTCCTCAGGTTCATAGGTAGAAACCGAATCTATTAATTGAGTGTGCCAAGTGTCGTGAATGCACCATCAAATGAGATTTTATATGTACGTATGTCAGTATGAATGCGCCATGTGTGCAGTGCCTGTGGAGGCCAGAGGAGGGGCATCATCCTCTGGAGCTGGAGTTACAGGCAGTTGTGAGCTGCCTGAGGTGGATGCTGGGAACGATGTCGGGTCCTTTGGAGGAACAAGTGCTCTTAACCATGGAACCATCTCTCCAGCCCCTGCACCATTAAATAAAATGCCATCCTCCTCTGGGCAGAGCTGGTGTGGACCTAGTAGGGACTGCACTGGAGATAGACAGAGTGGCAGGGGGTTGGGAATGGGTGCCTGAGCCTGAGGGTAGCAGAGAGCCAGCCCATCACAGCCTTATGGAAATGTGGGTTGGTGCTCTTTTAAAAAAATTTTTTTTTTTTTTTTTTTTTTTTTTTTTTTTTTTTTTTTTTTTTGGTCTTTGTGAAACGGTCTCCCTGTAGCCCCAGCTGTCCTGGAGCTCACTACGTAGACCAGGCTGGCCTTGAACTCACAGAGATCTGCCTGCCTCTGCCTCCCAAGTGCTGGGATTCAAGGCATGTGCCACCATGCACAGCAAAAAAAAAAAAAAAAAAAAAAAAAAAACCCTCTTTTTATGTGTATGAGTATATTGCTTGCACGTATGTAAGTGCACCTGTGTTGTGCAATGCCCATGGAAGCCGGAGGAGGGTGTCGGATCCCCTGGAACTGGATTTACAGACAATTGTTAGTCACCATGTGGGTGCTGGGAACCAAATTCAGGTCCTCTGCAAAAGGAGCCAATGCTCTAACCATTAAGGCATCTCATCTCCAGCCCTGAGTTTCATTCTCTCAATCCTAGCCCTCTGGAGGTGGGCTATCCTGGGTTCTACAGAGTATGGCTCTGTCTCAAAAAAAAAAAAAAAGGAAAAAAAGAGAAAAAAAGTTCAGGCTCTTGGTCCGAGATAGGAAGTGGTAATCCACAGAAGCTTGGCATCAAAACTGCTTGGAAAATAGAACCCTGATTATAATAACTACCATTTTCCAAGCACTTGCCATGTGCCAGTCCCTGTTATGAGGCACATTATGTTATCTCAAAGAAGCTTGGCAATAGAAGCCTGTGGGGATAGGGCCCAGATGACCAGAAGGACGTCAAGTCAGTGCTCACAGTTTACCAGGCCTGGCCAGGTGCATTATGGACAGGAGGGTTGGATGCTGATGAGGTAGGGACTGTATTCCCTCATTTACTCCACACATTCAAGAGCCTATGAAATGGCACCTGCTGCCCTCTGGGAATACAGTGATAGGGTGAACGAAAGCCCCTGCTCTGGGGGAGGTGTTTTTCAGCAGGATCTCATGTGTCCTAAGCTGACTTCACATACCTACCTAGCTGAGGATAACCTTGATCTTCTTGCCTTCATCTCCCAGTTGCTGGTGTGAGGGCATCACCATCATATCTGGTTTATGAGGTTCTGAGATGGAACCCAGGGTCTTCTGATGCAAGCACTCTACCAGCTGAGCTACGTTCCCAGCCCCTGGAGGTTGTCTTATGATGGGAACACAGTAAGAGGTATTTAGATAAAATGTAGAGCCAAGCTTGATGACCCCTCTAATCCCAGCACTCTGGAGCCTGAAGCAAGAGGATTGTCAGGAGTTCAAGGCCAACCTGACCTATAGAGCTTCAGAAATGAAACACAGCAAAAAAGAGAGCAAGTGCATAGATTTGGAAGGTAAGTGCTCTGGGGACAAATGGAAGTGGGGGGATGCTAGTCTCAAGCAGCAACGTCCATGTGACATCAGACCAAGAACCTGGAGGAAAAAGAGGTATCCTGAAGCTGGCTGAGATAGGAGCTTGCTTTGGATTTTCTGGAAACTGCAGGACCCTGAGGCTAGAGCTGTAGTGAGGAGAACTTGTGAGACTACTAGCTGCTACACCGACCAACCTGGCCTTTCTCTGGCATCATCCACAGAGGCCATTTTCCATACAGGGGATTTAACCCAGGGCCTTGCCTATGCTAGGCAAGTTCTCTACCACTGAGCTACATCCCTGGCCCCTGTAGACCTTAATTTCTTTTTCCATTTTTTTTTTCTTTTGTCGTTTTGAGTCAGGGTCTCCTTGTATCCCCAGCTGGCCTGGAACTCCCAGAGATCCCCCAGCCTCTACCTCCCTATTGCTGGGATTAAGGGTGTGCACCACCACCACGTCCCATCTTAGAGCTTATTTCCATGAATTTGTTTTCAGACCAAGTCTCTTGTAGCTCTTGGTGACCTTGCTGACCTGGAACACAGATCTGGTTACCTCTGCCTCCTGAGTGCTGAGGTTAAAGGTGTGCATCACCATGCCCACCTTTCATGCCCTGCTGGGGGCTGAACCCAAGATCATGCTAGGCAAGCCCTCCGCCACCTGAGTAGATCTCCAGCCCATTCAGGAACATTTTACAACTGCTAAAACAGGAACACAGGGACATCGAGCTCCCCGTGGAAGCCCCACAGCCAGAAGCAGAGCCCAATTTGAACCCGACACCCAGATGCAGAGTCCTTTCTGTCCGCTGAGTGACACACCAGAAACCCTGCAGGTGCTCACTTTACAGGGCCTGTCCAGTCTATATAGGGTTACTGGGGTTCTTTTTTTGGTTTGGGGGTGTTTTTGAAACAGCCTCAACTGGCCTGGAACTCCACTTGCTGTATAGATCAGGCTGTCCTTGAACTCACAGAGATCCACCAGCCTCTGCCTCCCAAATGCTGGGATTAATAAGATCAAAGCTGTGTGCCACTGTGCTCTGAGCTACTGGGGTGAAGAGCACATTTAGCCAACACTGAAAGATGATAATTTCACATGAAAGATTTGGCTTTTATTGAAAACTTGTTTTGACTGCCAAACCCATAATTCAGTGGGGCAGTAGTTTGCCAGAGCTGAAAAGAGGCCACCTCCCAAGGGCCGCCTCAGGCTCTGCTCCCCCAGAGGAGCATTTGCATTTTTAAAGACTCTGGGGCTGGAGAGGTCACTGTGGTTTAGAGCACCTACTACTCTTGCAGCTGACCATAGTTAGGTTATCTGTAGCCTTCTCTGGCCCTCCAGCTCCAGGGGATCTAACGCCCTCACAAGGCTCTGTACTCACATGCACATACCTATACACACAAAATTAGAATCTTGGACCAGCTGACCCTGGTGGTATACACCTTTAGTTCCAGCCCTGGAGAGGCAGAGTCAGGTGGATCTCTGAGTTTGGGGCCAGTCTGGTCCAGGCCAGCCAGAACTACATAGGAAACCATTTCTTGTAAGAAATTTTGTTGTGTTTAATAGGTGTGTGTGATTGCCAGGGCTAGGTGAAGATCAGGACAGTTTGCAAGAGCCAGGTCTCTCCTTCCACTGTGGGCTCCAGGGATCAAACCTGGGTTAACAGGTTTGTTCAGCAAGCACTTTTACCTACCGAGTCAACCCACCTTTAGTTTTTTCAACACCTATTACAAGATCTTAGACCAAAGTGTCTAAAAACCCACCCCCTGGGGCTGGAGAGATGACTGCTCTTGCAGATGACCTGGGTTCTGTTTCCAGCACCCACATGGCAGCTAACAACTGCCTGTAACTCCAGTTCCAGGGGATCCAAAATCTAAAACCCTCTTCTGGTCTATGGTACCAGGCATGCACATGGTGCCCTTATTATATACAGGCAAAACACTCCTAAAAGTGTTTTGAAGTGGGTGCAGTTATGAACTCAAGGTTGTGTGACCCCCAACTGACCAAGGGTTCAAATACTTGAGCCTATGAAGGACATTTTAAAAAATTATATGTGTATGAGTGTTTTGCCTGCATGTATGTAAGTGAACCATGTGTGCAGTACCCATGGAGACGGAAGAGGGCATCAGATCCCGTGGAACTGGAGTTACAGATGATTGTCAGCTGCCATATGGATGTTGGGAACCAAACCTGGGTCCTCTGGGAGAGCAGCCAGTGCTCTTAACCACTGTGCCATCTCTCCAGCCTGTGAGGAACATTTTTAAATTCAAACCACACCACCTATTCATGAGGGTAGAGTCTCACTTTGCTGTTAGACTTAATTGCTCTGAGCTATGTTTGAGGAGATACCTTAGAGGGAGGAAAAGTTACTTGTGGCTCAATTTTGGAGGTACCAGTCCGTGGTCAGCTGGTTCAGTTGTTTCTGGCCTTTGATGAGGTAAGAGCATCGTGGTGGGAGGGTGCTGTTCTAGTTTGCTTTGAGTTGCTGTGATAAACACCATGACTAAAACCAACTTGGGGAGGAAAAGCTTTTGCATCCTACAACTCCTAGGTCACAGTCCATCTCCAAGAGAAGTTAGATCATGGAGGAAAGCTGTGTACATGCTTTCTCTGATTTGCTCACCAACCTTTCTTATACAGCCCAGGTCTGCCTGCCTAGGAGTGGCATTGCCCACAGTGGACTGGGGCACATCAGCTAGCAATCAAGAAAATGCCAGGACAGGCATGGCAACATATGCCTTTCTTCGGGGACCTGTGACATCTGAGGTACAGCAGAGGTGTACCTGGCCCAGCCACTCTCTTGGGAGAGCAAGTGGGATCAGATCCTTAGGTTGGGGTTGGGGGAGGTACTCTGGGGATGCTTTGAAAACACTTGAGGCAGATACTGGGCTTTTACCAGGTGCCAAGGGGCAAGTTTCACTTTCATAAAATGGGCAACTAGAGGAGAAAAGTGATGGCCAAATGGCTGGAGGTCTGTTTCCCCTTGAGCAAAAGTGCTCCAGGCTAGCTCTGATGCAGATCTACACACAACCTGCACATATACCAGCTGGAGGTGGCGTTTCCCAGCAGGGAATCCCTGCTTTCAGACTCTGAGCAGATCTGAGAAGCTGAGGCCAGCTGGTGTCTTCAGTTGGACAAGGGGTTGGCCAGCACTCATTATAAAGGGTCAAGTGATGTGGTGTCTTCCAACTGTGCAATTCTGTTTGATCTAAAAGCAGCCATAGAGAGTAAGTAATCAAGTGAGCCTAAGTACGTTCCAATAAAACTTTATTTGCACAACTAAGCAACAGGCTGGAATTGGCCATTGTTTGCAGACTCCTGTCTTAGGCTGTAAATTCTGTTGCATGTAACAGGGACCCAATAACGGTAGCTTAACTGAGAGAGGTTTATTGCTCTCATCTAATGGCACATACGTGAGCTGGTATGTAAATGTCCTATGAAGGTGACCAGAGGCCCAGGCTCCTGATATTTTGATGCTCTACCATCCCATGTGGATCTTTGCCTTGTGGTCCAAGATGGCTGGGCACCATGTCCACATTCTAGTTAGGAAGGGAGAGGAAAGACAAGTCTCCTCCAAATGTAAGGATTCTACTCAGGAATTTAGCCAGAACTCAGTCCAGTCATATGGCTAATGTCTAGCGGTAAGGGAGTCTGGGAAATGTCTTTTTTCTCTTTTTTTAAAAAACCTTCCTCAATTTAAACAGAGCCCTGAGTACTGTGTGCAGGTTACTGGCCAATCTCCAGGGGCAGGGCCAGTCATGTAGAATAAAACAGACCTGCTGGGACTCATCACCAGTGCGAGAGTGACACCCACTGCTCAGTTCCAGTTGGTAGCTTCTGGCCTCGTCCCTGCTGACAGTATAAGATGTGTGTTGGGCCTTTTCAGGAAAGCTGAGCACTAGACCACCATGGGAAAATCTCCCAGCATTGGCCAAGAAAAACATGAGACAGAAGGTGTCCTCATTTGCTTCCAGAGGAGTCCTACAGGGCTAGGCCAGCCCTCCCCTGTGCTCCCTCCTCCCCACATCCATATGTTCTTTGGCAGTTCCCACTCAAAAGCCTGGGCTCCCTGTTCAGACTCAATATGGGTATTTTGTTTCTAGACACTATTCCTGTTGGCTTATTCATGCTGTCTCGTGTGTGCGTATAAAAATATCCTGTCACTAGAATGATACACAAAATTAGTCAAATACAGCATAAATTTTGAGTGGAGGCGCTTTACCATGCAGGGTCATAGCTCCCCTGAGTGGGGAAGGTTGGCGTGGGGCTGGCAGACACAAGGAATCAAACTGGAGCCTCCTCTCAGGGTTCAGCCCACCCCTGCTGCCCCATCCCCAAAATCCTGCGGTGCTCCAGGTCTGGAACTCACCCAGTAACAGCATCGGCATCCAGGCCAGCAGCGTCTCACTTCCCTACCCCCACCCAGGCGCAGAGCCAGGGCAATTTGCTCCTGTAGCCCATAGCATCCATCTGGGAAAAATTAAAGGTGATTATACAATCTGCAGATAGTTATTTAATTGGAATGAGGGAGATAGAAATAATTTTTCCTTCTCACGTTCTCACTTTTAACACATCTTGCCACTTGTCTGATGTCATCACTTCCTTAAAATGCCCTGTGTCCTTCAAAGACTGCATGTCTAAGCGACAATCTTTTGGGTGTTTGAGAACCCTTTGGCTTCCCAGTGGGGAAATTCCTCCAGGGCCCCTAAGAGACCCATGCCCCTAGCATGAGTGGGTCCCAATCAGTCCTAGAACCCCCAGCACTATAGAGAGGGTTTGAGCCACACTCAGAGCTCACCCCGAGCATGCCGGATGTAGTGTTGATGGAGCCCTGCTTCCTGGGCAAATTCCTGACCACACTCGGTGCAGGTGAGGGAGCCAGGGGTGGCAGGGGTATCATGTACCTGGCGGTGCCGCCTCAGAGAAGTGGCCTGCCCAAAGGTCTTGCCACAGTCAGGACAAGGGAAGGTAGGCTGGACCGCAGTGGGTGCACTAGGAGGGGAGGGCTTCACAGTCGGACCGTGGCTGCGCTGGTGGGCGATCAAGGCCTTGGAGGATGGGAAGGAACCGGCACAGGTGAAGCAGATGAAGAGCGCCCCCTGCAGCTTCTGGGCCACGAAGTCCGCAGGATGCTCTCGCTTCATATGACGTTCCTGGAACTTGGAATCGGCGAAGGTGATGAGGCAGTGGGTGCACTGTGGGACCCCTAGGTGGCCTGAGGGACGTAGGGGAGAGTCGGGTAAGGCCAGGAGGAGTGTCCAAGACCTCCCCTGAACCTCTGAATCATGCCAGCAAGGACCACTGAATGCTGTGTACTTGGCTCTGCACTAGTGCTGGGCTGTGGGACAAGACCTGGGGTTTGTAAGCAAACAGACTGAGGCTCAAAGAAGGCAGGTAAGTTGCCCATGGTTACCAGACTAGGAACTTTTGCAAAAGTAGAGACAGGATTCGAACCTGAAGTCTGCCTATCCAATAAAATGGTGTGGTGATAAGGCACTGCCTGGGGCTGCCTCTCCATTTCCTAGGCAATGGTTCCCTCATCTGGAAAATGGGGTCCTGACCATGGCTGCTCCTCCTCATCACTAGGAGGAATGGCCAAATGATTTAAGTGCCTGGAACAGAGCTCCAGTATTTGTAATTACACAGAACATGAGCGACAGATGAGGATGCCAGAGGAATCAAGATTAGACATTACCACAGCAACGTCTGAACACAAAGCACAGATATTCTCCAAGCCCAAAACATGACCTGTTAACAGAGTGACTGCAGTGACTGTGCAATCTCAGCTTCAGGGTCACTCTTTCCCTCCCTCCAAAATCAGACTTCTTAAGGTATCTGATTATGGATTGGTCCTTGCTCTCTGGGAGCACCCAATCCTGAGTAATGCCCCCTTCTCTCTTTCCCTCTCTGTCACTCCTGCTCCTCTTTTGCATGCTTTTTGAGATAGGGTCTCCTGTAGCCCCAGCTGGCCTGGAACTCACTATGTAGACCAGGCTGGCCTTGATCTCACAAGAGATCTGCCTCCTGAGTTAGGAGATTAATATGCACCCCCCTTCTTTGAACTCTTTCTAAAGTTCCACAAATACAAGTCCAAATCCTACAAATTCCTCTAAAAATTTTTATTTTTTATGCATATGAGTGTTTTGCCTGAATGTTCATGTACCACATGCATGCAGTACCTGGGGACCCCAGGCCAGAAGATGGATTCAGATACTCCTGGAACTAGTTGTTAGCCACCATGTGGGTGCATGGAACTGAGCTCAAGTCCTCTGCAAGAGCAGCCAGTGCTCTTAATTGCTGAGCCATCTCTTCAGCCCATCAAATTGTGTGTGTGTGTGTGTGTGTGTGTGTGTGTGTGACAGTCTCCCTAGCCCCAGCCTGCCTGTAACACACTATGTAGACCAGTCTGGCCTCGATCTCAGATATTCACCTGCCTCTGCCTCTGCCTCCCAAATGCTGAGATTAAAGGTGTGTGCCACTATGCCTGGCATCCAAATTATATATATATTTTTAAATTTTATTTATGGCCGGGCGTGGTGGCGAACGCCTGTAGTCCCAGCACTCGGGAGGCAGAGGCAGGCAGATCTCTGTGAGTTCAAGGCCAGCCTGGTCTACATAGTGAGTTCCAGGTCAGCTGGGGCTACAGGGAGACCCTGCTTCAAAAAGACCAAAAAAATGTATTTATTTATTATTATTATTTTGTCTTTTTGCCACCACGCCCGACATTTATTTATTATTTTTATGTGTATGCGTGTATTGCCTGCATGTAGGTAAGTGCACGCGAGTCGTACAATGCCCGAGGAGGTCAGAAGAGGCTGTCGGATCCCCTGGGACTGGAGTTACAGACAGCTGTTAGCTGCCATGTGCGTGCTGAGATTCGAACCCGGTCTTCTGCAAGAACAACCAGTGTTCTTAACCGCTGAGCCATCTCTCCAGCCCCCAAATTATTTTTTTAAATATTCTCTTCCTGAGACATTCCACCGTACCTATGGTATGTGCTGCAATGTCCAATAAACTCACGCTGTGGGATGTAGCTCAGTAGTAAAGCGCTTGCCTAGAATCCACCAATGAGAGGCTGGGGACATGACTCAGCCGTAGGGCTTAGAAGCCAAATAACGAGGGGCCTGGGACATGGCTCAGCAGTAGGCTGTTTGCTTAGAATCTACCAGCGTAGGGCTGAGAGCATGGTTCTGTGGTAGAATGCTTGCCTAGCATGTACACGTCCTTGAGTTTGGGCCACAAAACAAGTATGTAGTATTTAAATTGAGCAGTAAACCCAGTTTGTTCAAGCCAGGCGTGTTAGTAGTGGTCTCTGCCTGTAGGTCATTGATACCATGGTTCTTTCAGGAACAATTACACGCGGTCATTAAAGTCCATTCATTCATGTTGGAGGATGCGTGCACCTAGGCCACAATAAGCATTCTGTAGCAGATGCTGCTGCCATAAGTCAAACTGGATACTTTATTACCATCAAGTATTTTCCTTTTCTAGTTAATTCCGTAACAGCCCCATGGGAGTGGGAGTGGCATCCTTTAGATAGGGGAAACTGAAAGTCCAGGGCAGTGTTGGGACCTGAATCTTCTTTCCCACTAACACTATTCCCCAATTACACTGTCACCGTTCCTGGAAGACACCTATCCCTGTACATGGCATCCCGTTTCTAATCCCTCTATCAGGCTAAGTACTCACAGAGTTTGCTTTCTGGGCTGCCCGGTCGCCTCTCCTTGGTAGAAGCCTGCTGCTCCATATTCTCTTCAGGGTGCGGGTCCTCCATGTTGACTGCGACCTCGCTGATCAAGAAAGAAGCATGGGTGAGCCTAATCCTCTGACGCCCACGACACGCCATCTCCTTGAACTCAGCAGTGGTACCCACCCTTCAGCCCGCCTCTTCCGGGAGACATCCTTCCGTGACATCCTGTGACTCTCGCTCCACGCAGAGCCCCCGCCTCCCACGCTCGCTCCTAACTCGTTTCTGCGTCCTGCTTCTCCCACGCGCTGCTAGAGCGCCCCCAGCTCTCCAGGCCGGTCATCCTGGCTTCTAGCTTTCTTCCGTACAGCACCGGGCTGCCCTTCGCTGCGCCTGACAGACGATGGCCACAGCGCGGCCACCGGAAGGAAGCAGGATAGAGTCTTGTCAGTCTCCAGACGTTCATGTCTTAGCGCCCTGTCGCTCATCGAGCCGTGTCGGAGTTAGAGTCACGTTTTCAGTCAGGCACTATATCACAGACACCCAGCCAGGTCCTCCGACTGGGCAGTGTGTGTGTGTGTGTGGGGGGGGGGGGGGGGGGTCCTTCTCTGCTATGGGCGCGGAATGATGACGCCAAGGCCCGGTGTACCGTACAACTTTGTGCTTACTACTCCGGCGCTTTGGTTGCGGGACTCGAGTGCCGTACAACGCCATAGCTCAGGCGCATTGGTTTCTGCCCGCGCTTGCCGTACAACGTCGTGCAACGCAGGCGCTGTGGTGTCATTGTTCCTAGCCTGAGCTAGGGACTTTGTGCGCTTCCGGTATTCTGCGCAGACCCGAAATCTGAGTCTCTTGGGCTGCACTCCAAGACACTCCCCTTCTTAAAAGGACTGACGTCAGGATAGAACCACCCGGACGAATCTGGATGTCTCCTAATCCCGGCGCTTGTACCCCTCCGGCCTCCGTCTGCGGAGCCTCAGGGGCGGCCCTCCTCTGTGGCTGACCCTGCTGGCTACGACTGCGCGCCGGTTGTGTCGCCCGTCTGCTCGGTTGGTGATTGGGAACGGGGGGGGGGCAATCCAAGCGACGGGGATTGCTTTTTGTAGTTGTTTTTAGACATAGTCTCACGATGCAGCCTGGCTGGCCTGGAACTTGCTGTGTAGACCAGGCTGGCCTCGAACTCACAGAGATCCACCTGCTTCTGCCTCCCGAGCGCTGGGAGTAAAGGCCCGGTTCTTTTGAGTTTTGCAAACAGCGAAATACTGAAAGAAAGAAGAACCGAACGGGTCTGGGTGTGCAGGGAATACGCCCTTGGCGTTGGATGTCCTGGGCCTGCAGGGCGACATAGGAGAATGGAAATGGCGGCAGGGTGGAGGACCGAAGCCTGGGTGCAGAGAGAGTGGGCGGCCCCTGACCCCCGTCTTTCCTTGCAGCAATGCCTCCACCGCGGGGTGACGTGACGGCCTTATTCCTGGGCCCCCCGAGCTCGGGGAAGTCAGCGCTGATCGCCGCGCTATGCGACGGCAACGTGGACACGGTGGAGATTCCCGAGGGACGGCCGGACTCTGGGGTGCCCAGCCTGAGAGCCGCGGCCCCGGGTCTCTTCCTGGGCGAACTAAGCTGCCCACCCGCAGCCCCTGGGCCCTGGGCGGCGGAGGCCAACGTGCTGGTCCTGGTGCTCCCCGGGCCGGAGGAGAGCGAGGAGCCCTTGGCCCCAGCGCTGGGAGAGGCAGCGCGGGCCGCCTTGGCCCGGGGGATCCCGCTGCTGGCTGTGCGGAAGCTAGGTCCTGGGGAGTCACAGAATGCAGCCGGGGTCCGAGATCAGACTGCGGCCCTGCTGGACAGCGCGGGGCTTGGAGCTGCGCCCCTCTTTGTGCTGTCTGCGGACTGCAGCAACAGCGACTGCAACGAGGAGCTAGAGCGCCTGCGGGTAGCGCTGCGGAGCCGGGCGGAAGCCTTGCAGAGGTGAGTGGGCGGCTCCAGCCGGGTGGGGCGGCCTGTTCCTTTAACCTAGACCCCACCCGAACAACTTGGTTGAGATCTGAGAGCCCAGTTGAGGCCCCCCCCCCCTTTGTAGCCCCACCTGGCCTGGAACTCACAATGTAGACCAGGCTGGCCTTGAACTCACAGAGATCTACCTACCTCTGCCTCCTGAGTGCTGAGACTAAAAGGTGTGGGCCACCACACCCTACTTTGAGGCCAGGCTTTACTGGATCTCTATCTATGCCCCATTTCTTTGCCTAAACCCTGCCCATGGGCACAGATTTTTCCGGGAAGGGCAGGTTGATACAAGGTCTCCCTATGTAGCCCCAGCTGGCCTGGAGCTCACTATGTAGACCAGGCTACCCTTGAACTCACAGAAATCCCTGTCTCTGCCTCCTAAGGGCTGGAATTAAAGGTGTGCACCATCATGCCAGACTCCACAGATCTTTAAATCCAGGGGCTCCACCCTAAGCACTCTTTTCTGTCATTTAAACCAGCCAAGGGTCAACTGGGGGCCTGTCATGAGGCTTCTATCTCAAGTAAGCCTGCTGAGGTCACAAGCTGAATTCTAGGAGAGTCTGAGAATATACAGATAGTGCTCATGGACAAAATGTCTGACCTCATCTCTCTGTTAACATTTGGGATCCCATGAAGATTTTTAAAAAATTTTATATATTATGTGTATGTTTTGCCTGTATGTGTGCAAATGCCCTCTTACTATTCTTGCAAATCCTCTGAAACTGGATTTATGCAGGTTTGTGAGCTGCCATCTGGGTGCTAGGAACTGAACCTGGTTCCTATGCAAGAGTAGCCAGTGTTCTTAACTGCTGAGCCATCTCTCCCAGCTCCCCTATCCCTCGAAGAGTTTTAAAAAATATTTTCATTTTTATTTTAGGTATATGAATGCTTTACCTGCATGTATGTAAGTGCACCTGTGTGTGCAATGCTCATTGAGGCCAGAAGAGGGCATTGGATTCCCATGGAGCTGGAGTTGCAGAAGGTGCCACGTGGGTGCTGGGAATCGAACGCTTGTCCTCTGCAAGAGTAGCCAGTGCTCTTAACCACTGAGCCATCTCTCCAGGTCCCTGGAAAGATTTTTTTACCCAAAGACTCCTAACCAGTATTCCCATCCTCCCCACCACTGGCTTGGTTTTCACGTGATCCTTGTTGCCCCAACGGCCACACCTTCCAGGAGCTTTATTATTTCTGGGTGCCCCAATTGCTTTCCCTGATCCCCTCTCACTTCTGTGCTTACTTGCTCCCACCTGAAAATCTACCTCCTCCTCAACTGCTTCCCTCCACATTTTATGGATCTCAAAATGAGTCTCAGAGAGGAGCTGCCTCTTTTCTGGAGATCCTGTTCTTTCCCCTTTATTTAGCTCATGTCACCTTAGCGGTGTGCACCTCCGGGTGGATGAGATTTCCTCCCTCCTCATGCCCACCTTTGGGAAGAGCACCCTTGTCAAACAATGCTCAGCATTCAAATAGGACAATGTAGTTGCCTTTCCATCCCTGCTCCAAGCTGTGCCCTCTGTAAAACTTTTCTGGCTTAGCATATCCCGGGAAAAACCTTGTTTCTGAAGGCTGTATCCTGAAGTCTTTTTTTTTTTTTTTTTTTTTTGGTCTTTTTGAGACAGTCTCCCTGTAGCCCTAGCTGTCCTGGAACTCACTATGTAGACCAGTCTGGCCTTGAACTCCCAGAGATCCGAGTGCCTCTGCCTCCCAAGTGCTGGGTTAAAGGCGTGGGCCACCATGCCCAACTTAAGTCTTAACAGAGCCTCAGTCTTTGGTGGTTCTGTTGGAAACGACCTTAAGTCTATGGGTCTGATCCAGACCCAGCTGTAGTTTAAACCCCTCCCTTATCCTCCTGACACTGCCCCACTTGGTAGCTGTTCACTGTGTAAAGGGTTAAGAAAGGTCCCTCCTGTTTTTTTGTTTCTGTTTGTTTTTGAGACCAGCTATCACTATATAGCCCTTAGACCAGGCTAGCCTTGAACTTACAGAGATCTGCGTGCCTCTGCCTCCTCAGTGCTGATATTAAAATCATGGTGATTACCACACCCAGCCCAAAGTTCTGCTCTTTTAAAGAAAAAATAAATACATTTAACTCTAGTCAAGTGCTTGCTCCCCTAGCCCAGCCCTTTCACACTTCACCTCTCTGCCAACTCCTGACCTCTTGTTTCCCTCCCTGCCCCCACAGGCTCCTGCCACCTGCCCAGGATGGCTTCGAGGTGCTGGGTGCAGCAGAGCTGGAAGCCGTGCGCGAGGCCTTCGAGACGGGTGGCCTGGAGGCTGCATTGTCCTGGGTGCGCGCGGGCCTGGAGCGCCTGGGCAGTGCACGGTTGGACCTGGCGGTGGCCGGCACCACTGACACCAGCCTTGTGCTGAACATGCTTCTGGGGCTAGATCCCGGTGACCCAGGTGCTGCGCCTGCCTCGCCGCCCACAGGGCCCACCCCTTTCCCGGCCCCAGAGCGCCCCAACGTGGTGCTCTGGACCGTTCCTCTAGGCCCCACGGCCCCTTCCCCCGCCACTACCCCTCACCCGACCCACTACGATGCCCTGATCCTTGTTACCCCTGGGGCCCCCACTGAGGAGAACTGGGCGCAGGTCCGCAGCTTGGTGTCACTAGACGGGCCGCTTGTCGGGGTCCGCACAGATGGCCAGGGCGAGGATCCCCTCGAGTGTCTGGAAGAAGAGGAAAAGGCAGAGAACGCACAGGAAGGGGGTGTGAGGGATGCACCCAACGAAGGAAAGGAGAACACAGGTGGCGCAGCACGAAAAGCAGGCGGCGAGGGTGTGCCAGAGCTTGTGGGCGCTCGGAAATCGGGCGGCGGGGACTCAGGGCGCGCGGCGATGAGCCCTGAGGACGAGACCTGGGAGGTGCTGGAGGAGGCCCCGCTGCCTGTGTTCCGGCTGCGGCCTGGGGGTTTCCCAGGGCTGGGCGCGTGGCTGCAGCGCGCTTTGCCAGCGGCTCAGGCTGGGGCGCTGCTGCTGGCGCTGCCCCCCGCGTGTCCCCGCGCAGCGCAGAGGAAGGCGGCGGCCCTGCGGGCAGGGGCGTGGAGGCCAGCCCTGCTGGCCAGCCTGGCTGCTGCGGCGTCTCCAGTGCCCGGGCTGGGCTGGGCCTGCGACGTGGCCCTGCTCCGGGGGCAGCTGGCCGAGTGGCGGCGGGCACTGGGGCTCGAACCCGCGGCCGTGGCACGTCGTGAGCGCGCCCTGGGCCTGGTTCCGGGGGTGCTGGCGGCGCGCGCTCGCTTCCCGGGCCCGGTGACGCGCGCAGAGGTTGAGGCCAGGCTGGGGTCCTGGGCTGGCGAGGGCACTGCGGGCGGTGCGGCTCTGGGCGCACTCTCCTTCCTGTGGCCTGCGGGTGGCGCAGCAGCGACAGGCGGGCTGGGCTATCGCGCCGCGCATGGAGTCCTGCTGCAGGCCCTGGATGAGATGCTGGCGGATGCTGAGGCTGTGCTGGGACCCGCTGAGGCCGACCAGTGAGAAGCGTGGGCTGAGGGGCTGGGGTGCCTGGAGACCTGGTTTTCTGGCTTCACAGCCTCTGAGATCGAGGGTGGGAGCGGTACTCAAACCTGGGGATTTGAAGGGGACTCCGACTTCCGGACCAGATCTGTGACTTCTAGTCACCCCATTTTCAGGGTCCTGCATGGGAGTATTGTCTGGAGGCCAGGACCCCTAGTTTCTCTGTACACCAGAAATGTACCATCCAGACACTGGTGTAGGGAAGGGAGTTGGGACCTGGATCCCTACAAGGGGTGAGCATCTTAGTATCTAGCTGGAGTCGGTACCTAGTCCTGCAGGGATGACAGGCTCCAGAAGCCTTGATTCCTACCCGACTGGGAGTGGATCTATGGCTGGGTCCCAAAGAGACACAAGATGTAGGTTGCCCTGGGAAGAAAAGGCTTGCAAAACCTGAGGGGCCCTCATTGGGGGATGTAGTAGGTGCTCAGATTCCGGGCTCCCAAGAGGGTTCTGGACCTTATTTTTCAGCTCTTGGGTGGTGAGAGTTTCATCTGTGGAGTGATCCAGGGGCCTGCTGGAGACCCCCTGATATCTTGGAGAATGGCGAATTGTCCACTCTTTAGGGGTCTGGTGTTGGGGAAATTGTCCCACAAAATTGAAGGGACAAGATGTGCAGGTAAGGTGGGCTCAAGGTTGCCAGAGGCTGAGAATGAGGCATTATGGGTATGGAAGAGTAGGAACGCTTACGTCAGAAATACCTCCCATAAGCCCCCTGGTGTATTGGGGTCCTGGCAACTGCCTGTTTGACTGGGAAGGGATGTGACTACCCCCGTTTTCTAGGTGCTGTGTGATTTGGTGTGTCTCTGGCACGTGTGTTGGTGTTTGACTTTAGGAGCTTCCTCATTGCAGTGTCTCGGTCACTGATGGCTCTAACCCTTTGGGGTCTTGGTGTTTTGTGCTCCTGCTTTTTTTGAGGAGTGAAAGTGCTACTGTATTGGTCTAAACTTTTCTACTTGGCTTCCTTGGTGACTCCAAGATACCTGCTGCTCATGTCTACAGAGGATGCTGCTGTGAGCAGGGTTCTCACAGAATAGCTGGGCAAGTGTGTGAAGCTATGGAAGGTGCCAGGAGCTGAGGCAAAGGCAGAAGTCACAGTGCCTCTGTGTTCCAGGCTGTCTGCCTTGTCCAGGTAGGAAGGGCCACATTAGAGGAGCCTTCAGTGGCAGATAGGGAGAGCAAGTTCAGAGAGGGGCTGGAGGTGCACAGCAAAGCTCTGTGTGGTCTGGCCCTTGCTTCTTCTGTTCCCTGCCCAGCCTATCTCCAGCTAACCTGATGGAGCTGGAACATTCTGCCTCCACATCTTTTCAAGGCTGGCTCACCAATCACCAGGTCTCCCCCAAATGCCCCTTCCAGAGAGCCCTCTGGTCACCCCAACCTCAGTAGCTTACACTGATCCTGGCCACTTGATCTTCCTTGTAGCAAGTATTACTATCATAAAAACTTTATTCAATGATTTAGCTACCTGGTTTTGTTGGCTGTTGCCCTCTTGCCTGCCTTTCCCTCCCAGCACCTAGAAACAGTGTCTGACACACAGAAGGTGCCTAGGAAATATTATTTTAGTGTATTGGTCAAGGGCACAGGACTGGGATCTAGATTGTCTATATCTTACCGCAGAAAGGGAAAAGAAACAAACTCTTCATGGGCAGTGAGACACTGGAGGTGTCCATGGATCTGGAAACACACTCGGCTTTGCCAACATCATTCTGCCACTTGGATGAGTACTGTATATTCCTATATGTGACGTGAAAGGACTGAACTAGAGCCATAATTACTTTGAAGGGGTACTTTTATGAAGGATGCATAGTTGGGGGACTATACCCCACCTGCAGCTTGAGCTCCCACCACTGACACAGTTTGTCCTATCAGTGTCGAGGAGGCAGCTGGTGTGGTGATGCATGCCTATCATCCCGGGGAGGTGTGGATGGGGACAGACAGGTCATCTTCAGCCACACAGGAACCTCCAGCCTGAGCTTCATGAGACCTGGCTTCACAAACAAAATACAAATGAGGTGGCTGTGATGGGGAATTGTGTTTGATCCCGTCACTGAATGGTTCCAGGCACTGCACAGAGCTCACTAGGTTTTTAAGGAGATTCATCTAACATCCAGCATGCCTAGTCTGCAGCCCCATTCCAGCCTGAAGCCCCTCACCTGTCTTGTGAAAGAAGGGGTGGGGGGAGCAGCAGAGCTTCACCAACCACAGAAACACAAGCGGAGTGCAGCATTTTAAATGTTCTAGTAGCCATCCTAAAATAGTAAAAGGTGGGCTGGGGAGGGGGCTGTGCAGTTACTAGCTCTTGGAGAGGGCCCAAGCTTGAGTCCCAGTCTGCATCACTGGCTCACAAATGCCCATAACTCCAGCTTCAGGGTATCCAGTGCCCTCTTATGTCTATGAGTGTATTGCCTGCATGTATGTAAGTGTGCCCATTTCATGCAATGCCCTTGAAGGATAGAAGAAGCTGTCGGATCCCCTGGAACTGGAGTTATGGACAATTGTTAGCTGCTGTGTGGGTGCTGGGATTTGAACCCCGGTCTTCTGCAAGAAAAGCCAAGTCTCTTAACCTCTGAGTCCCCAGTACGCCTGTGTATAGGCAGGAGTGCACCATTTAACCCAGTCTGGCTTTGAGCTCCATGTGGTCTGGCCCCTGCCTCTTCAAATGCTGCCCCAGCCCATCTCCAGGCAGCTTGATAAGTCTTTCTGATGTTTGAGTCACCCCTCCTGGGCCCTACCTCAGCCTCCCCAGTTCTAGGATTACATTCACCATGGCACCTGGCTCATAATATTTTCAAGGGATTTTGAGATAATGTTTTTTTCTGCTAAGTCTTCAAATCTGGTATGTACCTTTTAACTAAGCACATCGCAACTCACATGACATACTTTAGAAGTATTGGTTCTATATAACGTTCACAAATGGAGAGCCAGATTCACATACCCAAGTTGCCTCAATTTTCTAGTTTTCCATCTTGGCTTCCCCTTAGCTCTGGGGATTGAACCCAGGGCCTCACACATACTAGGCAAACACTAATCCTGAGCCAAGTCCCTAGTTCCTGACTGGTGGACTCTAGGCAGGTGCTCTACCCCTGATCTTTATCTTTTATTTTGAGACAGGGGCTCACTAAATTGCCCAGGTTGACCTCGAACTTACTCTATCCTCAACAAGTCTTGAATTTATAATCCTCCCTCAGCACCCTCCTCCCCGCCCCCGAGTAACTGGGATTCCATTCTGATCCACTAGGCCTAGCTCGTTAAGATTCCATTTCTTAGTGATATCAGCCATGTCCAAGTGCTTAGCAACTAGTTAGTGGCCAGTATGTGCGCCAATACAGATGTGGAACAGTTCTGGCAACACAGGAATTTTTTTTTTTTTTTTTTTTTTTTTTGGTCTTTTTGAGACAGGATCTCCCTGTTGCCGCAGCTGTCCTGGAACTCACTATGTAGACCAGGCTGGCCTTGAACTCACAGAGATCTGCCTGCCTCTGCCTCCAGAGTGCTGGGATTAAAGGCATGTGCCACCATGTCCAGCAAACAACTTCTGCCTGAACAGGGACCTGAACCTTGGACCCTCGGATTAAGTCTGATGCTCTACCAGCTGAGCTATCCGGGCAGGAATTTTTGTTGTTTTCAGTCTTTTTGGGACAGAGTTTCCCTGTAGCTATCCGGCCTGGAACTCCCTATGTAGAACAGACCGGCCTCCATCTCACAGAGATCCACCTTAGTCTGTCTGTCCCGGGATTAAAAGCTTGTATGTACCACCATGCCTAGCTAGGAAATTCTATTTTGAGCAAGCTCCCAGGGCAGAGAGTCCTACAGAGATGGCGTGGGGAGATCCCACTCAGGAAATGGTATCTAGCAATAGCAAAAGCAACTTAAGGAAGAAAGTGACTATTATGATTCATAGTTCAAGGATGCAGAATCCATCATGGCATAGAAGTCATGGGTTCAAGGATGCATTTGTCAGGGCAGGAGAGTGAGGCAGCCGGTCACACAGCATCCATAGTTAGGAAACCCAGAGGGGTGAGTCAGTACTCACTCAGCTCCCTCTCTTCTCCTCAGTGCAGGACCCCAGCCTATGGGATGGTGCTTTAAACAGAGTGAGTCTTCTCACCCCAATTAACCATATCTAGAAACTTCTTCATAGTCATGCCCAGAGAACTGTCACCTAGTTGAGTGTAGATCCTGTCAAGTTGACAGTATGAACCATTATACCTGGTAATTGTGAGAATTCATTATATATACATACGCATGTGTCTGAGCATGCTCACAGGCATGTGAATTTATACACACAAACACACTGGTCTGCAGCTCCTCTTGAGAAGCTGGGAACACAAGCATGAGCAAGTCCTATTGCCTGGGCTCTCACACCCTTGGCCTGGGCAGCAGTAAGATGACACCAGTCTGATAACCTGTCACCCAAGCAGAGGGGTCTGCTCTCTCTACCACTTTGATGCTTTGTTTTTCTTTCATTGTTTTGAGATAGGATTTCACATAGCTCAGGCTAAACTTACTATGTAGCCAGTGATGGCCTTGAACTCCTCATTCTCCTGCCTCCACCTCCCAAGTGCTGGGATGACAGGTGTGTGCTACCATACCCCACTCTGAGCCTGACTTGCCTGACATCCCTGCCCTAGGCTTTGCTGCTGGAAATCCCCTGTGCCCTCATGGTAACAGGGTCATGCCAGATACATCAGAAAAAGCAGGATGATTTTGTCTGTGTGTTGTGTCTGTAGGGTGTGCTGGTTGGGTTCACATAGTTGTGTGTCCCCTTTGAGTTTGATAACTACTTTGGGGAGTGACTGCACATTATTGTTTCGAGATAGGATCACTATGTTGCCCAGACTGTCTCAACCTCCTAGGCCCAAGTGATCCTCCTGCCCTAGCTTCCTGAGTGCTGGATTACAGGCATGGTGACTGCCTTTAGCTCAGGCTGGCCTCAAACCCGTGATCCTCCTGCCTCTTCAACATATGCTATCGGTGTATACCACCACAACTGGCAGTGACTGCTTTTTAAATCATGACATTTTTATTGCTTGAGATATAATCTCATCCTATACCTCAGGCTGACCTTGAATTCATAGCCCCTCCTCCCTTGGCCTCCTGAGACCTCTCAAACCTTAGCCACCACACTGGGCATCTGCATCGTGACTTTTGTTAGCATTGAGTTTTAGGCTTTGGGCAGGAGGTAAGAAGGCTGAAAGTGAGGCACGTGACCCAGGAGGCATCCAAACCAACAAGGCTCAGTCTCCCTTGTGGACAGGTCACTGGCTCCTAGCAGAGTGTACCCATATGGCACCTGAGGGCCAGAGGAGACTGGAAGCAGGAATTCCAGGAACTGTCCCCCAGTGCTGGAATTCCAACTGTGAACCTTGGCAGAAGAGCAGGTTCCAAACCCCAGCGAGTGGATGAATCACCTTTGTCACTCTGGTGGAGTTTCACACCTTTTGGTTAATGAAGGACTTCTGTCCATTGCAATGGGGGGCATATCAATGGTCTGGACAGCCTGTGATGTGTTTAGAAGACTGAATAAAAATGAAGAGAAATTCCATTGTGTGTGTGACTTCAGATTGAACCTCCGGCCACACATCTAGTAGTCAAGTGCTCTACCACCAAGCTCACAATGGCCTATAACTCCAGCTCCGGGAATCCAACATCTGGTCTCCAGTACCTGCACTCACATGTCACTCATAGATGTATATATACACACATACATATGCATGTATACACATACATGTATATATACATATATGTATACACATAATAAAAATCATTAAAAATACCTCTCTGACCCACAGGCCTCTCTCCAGGGTAAGTCAATCACGCCCTCTGCTCCTTGCTCCCCCAGCCTCATTCGCCCTCCCATCTCCCCAGCAGGTCTCTCCTCCTAGCCTGGGTCCTGTCCCATTCCTTGTCTTGGGGCCCCAGACACCTGGGGAACCACTACTGCTTCCTGATCCTTTTCATCCAGACCAATGTAGTGCCATCTCTGGGCCCCAGGAGCACTGCTTCTGGGCCTGGCCCCGCCCTCACCTCCCTCTGCTTCCCTGGGCCTGAAAGACCCGCCGCAGGCCTCTCTCCTACCTGCAAGCCTTTCTCCTGGGTAAGTCCATCACGCCCTCTGCAATGTGCTCCCCCAGGCTCATTCACCCTCCCATCTCCCCTGCACGTTTCTCCTAGTTTGGGTCCTGTCCCATTCCTTGTCTTGGCACCCCAGACACCCGGGGAAACACCACTGCTTCTTGATCCTTTGCGTCCAGACCAAATCAGTGCCTTCTCAGGTCCCTAGGAGCACTTTGGGCCTGGCCCCGCCCTCACCTCCCTCTACTTCCCTGGCCCTGCACCAACCGAGAGCCTCTTTCCTGGTGCGGGGACTGAACTTTCCTCTTCCTGATCCTTTGCTCCTCAGTGCAGTCCCCAGGAGCCCTTGGGGCTGCTTCCCGCCCCCATAGGCCTTTGCAT